GATTTAAATTAGTTGTGTCTGATCAAGTCTGCTTACTTTTTAATTATGTTCTTCTTTGTTGGTTTGTTTTTAAGATGCCAATTAAAAGTCAAAACAAATCAAATGGTTACTCAAATATCCTATACAAAGTCCATTAGCTGAACGCAGACAGTGAATATAGTTTGAAGAATCTGTGTCGCATACCTTCTTTAATAGACCAGTCATAAATGTTTAGATTAGGAAGACAAGTAAAACAGTCGTTTGTTGGCGATGTTTCACCGACTGACCGACATGTTTGTTCGATAAAGCAGAAATCCATCTATAAAAGAAAGCACAATATACAGCAAAGTATTAACTACTTGTCCAAGTAATTGGTTTGTATATGTATTGAAAATGACAGTTTTAATGAGATTTTGATTAGTTTTTGGAAGTCACTACGACATGACGTCACGTTTAGTACATCCAATCCAGGTTAAAAATATATTTTTAAATGTTTGTATTATTAATAATAGTTTTAATCTCCTGTTATGAAGAGTACATTACTATTATTATTTTGAAATAAATTTGATATGGATATCTGTTTTATTTAGACTTTTTATTTAATGAAATTAAATGTGATTTATACTTTTAAAAAAGTAGTTTGATATTATCTATACAATAGTCTATCTCTATAAAGTTGCATGTCCCCTCCTGTTATACTCCTACAATTTTGGAGTCCCGGGGGTCGGCTTTACCCACCAGAACCAGAACCATGTCATATATATTTATCTGATACTGTACATTACTGTACTGACCGTTAAATTACAGATGCCTTTCCAGTTACACTGAAAGCAAAAGGAATCGAATATTGTGACAATTACTGCGTTGCTCAAAGATCCACTGTTGAACGATACCTTCAATAACAATATTCAATAGTTATTGATTGTGCAAAGATAATAATAATAATAATAATAATAACGACGAAGACTACAAGAACAACATCAACAATAGTTATAACAAGAATAATAGTGATAATGATAATGATAATAATAAATATTAATAACATAATAATGATTGATCGTTAAGACGCCTACAACCTGGCTCAAATTCATATAAAACATCATTACCAAGCTTTATGATGAGAAATAATAGTTCATCATGCAGGCCTAATTGGTGAATTTAGGCTTATTCGATGTTTAAGTAGTCAATGTATGCTTAAAACCTCAGTATGGGGGAAAATACAGTATCTTTACTATTAATCAATAATAGAAAAAGCAAATTATACATAAAATATAAAAATTTATACGTAAATTACCAATAATTATAAATATTAAATCATTATAAAGTTTGACTTAAGATAGTACAAACCAAACTTTTAAAAAATGTGATGCCAGTCAATGCGATTTTATATTTCAACATTTGTTCGTCTTCAGAAATGAAGATGCACAAATAATATTTGTTTTTTATTTACTGATATAATTAAAACTGATGTTGAAGTTATGAACCAAAAGAAAAACAAGACATTATCCATATGAAATTTAAACATAACACGGTGCTACTGAGCCTCCAACTAGGGCCGCAATGGCACAGGTGAGGGCGAAGTTAAGAGTTCTAACATCTGTGCCCTGCGAAGGTTAATTGATTTTCAGTTTATAGTACAACGAAAATTATGTATACGTTTTAAGGTACTTTCTGCATTGAACCTTAGCTTTAAGTAGTTTGAAACGCTTTAGAAAACTGAAAGTATAATTACCAGTTTATTAATAACAAAGTATGTAATGTAATGACATTATTTACAAGGCACATCTTTGCTTTGACACGGAAGATCGAAGCACGGAAATGAGCAAAGTGGAAGACAGAAAAACAATGGGAAAAGGCAGAGGAGATAAAAAAAAATCTGAACAAACATAATAACTTAATAGTTACAAAGGACTGAATCATCTGCAGAGTTAACTGACCTGAACTGCCCACTTAGTTGGTGAACGAGCGTCTTTAATTGTTGTCTTTGGTATCGGACAAAACACAGTTTGTTTGTTTCTGAATGTTCCAATACTATCGAATTCTGTCAATTCTTCATTTGACTAGATGTCGAAAAAAGCAAGAATGTATATTAAAACAGTAGATTTATAAATAAATCTATGAATCGATAAATAAATAAATGGATCAATAAATCGATATATTGATAGATTGACATATTAACGAATCGACACTTTCCAAATGATAGTTAATAAATAATTAAATTGATAAATTGTTAAATTGGTATACAGTAATCAGATAAATCAATAAATTTAAAAAATCAATCAATCAATACATTTTTCATTTAATCAATCTAACGATCAATATGACTGTGACAAACAAATATGGGAAAAACCCAATTGGCGATAAAGCAATTTACTTTGTGAACGCTGTCTCCCGCAATATACTGTAGTACTTTACTTTAAAAGGAAATAAATCCAACAACTTAGCAAGCTACGTTAAATTGCTAATAGCCATAATAACTTATCTTTGTATGTATATTAACATAGGCCTGTAATAACGGGGTTCAAAATAGTTCAATGTGAAACATACATTTAATAAATTAAGGTGACATCTGATGACATCTGTTCTGCTCACATTAACAACATTAATTTTAATGACGTCACATACTCGCGTTCGTTTATCACACAATCCGTTATCTCCAATACGTGTAACAGTGGGCGTATCTGCAACATTGAAATAATGTTAGTAAGTTTTTCAAAAACACAGTAGGTGCAAAACAGATTCACAATGAACCATTACATGTATTGCTTGAGATCTGATTGGCCGAAAAATAACAATCTGTGGTGCCTTTATAAATTATTGTTTATTGTTACAAAAATTATTGATAATATTACACTTTAAAGCTTCGCGTTATACATTTTAATTACTTTTTTAAATTTATATTTTGTTATGATTTTAAACATAAAAATTAAATTGTGATAAATTTTAAATGTGTAAACCTAATTTTCTAAATATAGAATAATTGTCGAATCGGAGGAAATGGTGTTACTTGTTACCCTTACCATATCGTACACTACAATCAATTGTGGAGAATCCATCGTCACAATCACAACCTAGTGACGTGCATTTACCGTTTCCTGAACAATTATAAGGACAGTTTAGACTTTTTTGTAAAGAGCTTATATGATTTCTACTTGTATCATCGTTTTGAGTCCATAATGTCTGATTCTCCAATAGCGCCCTCTCACATTCATTTTCAATTAAAGTATACGCGTATGAATCCCATCTAAAATCGTCCGTCAGTTGCAAGTCGGCAACGCATATTGCGATCGCATCTTCAATGTACATCTCCGTTCCTAATGTTTCCGAACACAAAGATGCTAGATTAGAATTGGATTGGCCTAATTTTTTTTCGCAGATATGTGCTGCTTGGCTCTGGGTTATTCCAGTTGGCGTTGGCCAAGTTGGGTTTACTGGCCTCAGATCTGAGTAGTTATCATCCGGGTAGAAATAATACTCATCATTTGTGGTATTTCCGTCAGTTAGATCAAAAACTGTTTCGTGCTGTATCAATGGGGTGAATTGGTGCAGATCGTGCTCATTTTGTAATGTAAGACTTCGTTTATGTCTAGGTTCACTCGATTTCGCCTTAAACTTGGCCGTTATATCTTTCGAATTGATAAGGTTTGTTCGAATGACATCGTCATAACGACTACATTTATGCTCTGGTGTCAGTGTGCTTCCAGGTGGTTTCTCACAGTTACAGAAATGTTTCCTCTTTGGATATTTTTTATGTTCTTGTAAATTATTAAAAAGGCCACCGTCACGTAATCTTCAAACAATAATAATTATTGACAATAAGCAAAATTAATATGAAAGGTATCGTAGCAATCTAATAGCATAATAGACATCACTAATTATCTCACACTGAATGTGTGAAGAATGTATACCTCTATCAAATAAAACGATGATAGTAACAATAACAGCAATAATAACAATAACGAAGATAATAATAACTATAACAGCAGCAGTAACAACAATAATATTTACAAAACTAATATTAGTTAATTAAAAATACGGAACTCTATACTGATATACGCTATTTAAAATATTTGATCTGATGGTAAGCTTCTGTAGGCCTACATGCTCATTATTGAATAAAAATGCAACTAAAATACTTTAGATCAACTATTTAAAAGATCTAGTTAACCACATGATTGTATTTTTTATACTGTATTGTTCTTACCTCCACAATTCAACAAATTCATTTGGTTGACCAAACTTCATGTCGATGTCCATCTTATTTTGTTTTTCATAGTGATAATCATTATTGGGATCGCCGTCAAATATTCCACAGAGACCACAGGTATGATTGAAGTCACTGGATGGTACTTGAACTGTAATACTCATCCCCCAGTCAGATATATCTCCACGGACAAATGCTCCTGAAGGAAAACTTACCTGCCGTCAATAAAAACAAACAAGATATCAATCATACTCTAACATATGTTTTTTTTATTGCAATTAATTCAGACTCCGTTATTTATTTTGTAACTGCAATTAAGAGTATTGTAACAACATACTACTATTTAATCTATCATTATACATACTGTTCAGACATTTAAACTGAAAATTATTTTTCATTAATTTTACAAAATTTAAATAAGAAGAACAAGTTGAGAAAATAAATTTTTTCTATTATACTGTCATATCAAAGAAGATTGTAATAAATTATGTGTTGGTAAGTTTAAGAACGGTAATAAAATTCCTCACTGTCGTTAATACAGTGCTCTCGATTCATCACCAAACACGCGATCATGTACAGTAAACAAACATAAAATTAGTCCTACAAGTAAGCACGATTTATTAAGACTAAATGATTTACGGTATAAGTTGTTGCAAATAGATTATAAATTAATTCTGAAAAAAAAAATCGTAAGTGGTACAGTGCGTTTTAATGCGAGACAATTCGCCGACACTTTGTCGAATAATTTCAGGCCCAATAGATTTTTGGATAAAAATTTTATCGACTGCTCAATTCGCCGACAATGCTCTTCTATTAGAACGTAGCCTCAGCTTTTTCAAAGTATATTTATGTTTTTAAAATCTAATAAATTGAATGAATTTGAACCAAAAACGAATAAATGAAATAAATCCTCAATAACATACCAGTAATAAAACTTACATTAAACTCTATAACAATAAAAAGGAATATATAAATGAAATGAAATGAGATTCACCCACTGTTATCTTGTTTCCAGATTTTGATTCCTTGATTTTGACACCATCTTCTAACGGCAACAAACTCATTATCTTCACTTCCGGTTGCGTTTCTAACAGCACGCCGTTGCACATGTCAACGGAAATAATATCATTATTTTCTCGGGCAACAAAACCACAATTGCACGAAATTTCATCTTTAGCACCACCACAATTCCATATCCGTGAATTGACCTATTTAAAAACAACATCTATTTTAAATAAAAAAGGTTCATGCGTGTTCCGAGTTTATAGATTATAACAAATTTACGATCGTATCGAGCATAGCAAGTCAAAGAAAAGTTCCATATATCTCCATGTATGATAGTCATATGGCTTACATTGTTCCGTTGTGCGTAGCGTGGTGTCAATGCCTACATACCTCAAAATCCCTGTTTAAACTTTTGTGCAATATGTATGTCCCTGTTTTGTAGAAATCGTATTTTCTGTGAAAAGTACATAAATATTTAGTTTATTAGATTGTTGTGACATGTCTCATTGAGTAATAGCCCTATATACAGAGTAAGTCAAATCACATCCTCATCATCATCATCATCATCGTAATCATAAAAACAATAATCATATTCATAATACTCATCATTTTCAATATCATCATTATTATTATCATCACTACCACCACTATCATCGTCGTAATCATAAAAAAAAATCATTATCATTAGTAATTATATAATCATCTCATTTCTTAATAATTATTATTGTATCTTGAATATATTTGATGAAATTCATTAAATGTTTCACATGTTTAACTTACAAGCGATCGAATGTGATGAAGTGTGGATCAGTGAATGAGTAGCACTGACCTCCTGTAACATCTTTAACGGATACCTGAAAATAAAGAATATTTTGACTACCAGCACAAATAATGCGTTATCCCAGTATATAACACAAACTACACTTTCTGACACTGTGGCTGAAATTACTTTTAAAATAAGAACAAATAAAGGCTGAGATAAAATATCAAACAAGGTTTTTTATTTTATGAAAAAACCTAGAAAAAAAACCCAAAGAAATCAAGGTAGTCACATACAGTAAAGAATTAATAAATGTTTAAAAACGTTATATTAACATTATATCTACTCTATTAATGTCAACAGATGCGATGTAATCTGAAGTTATATGAGGGAACGACGCAAAATTCTCGTCTAAGCTGAAATTTTCCCCTCAAACCAGCCGTTCTCTACAGTCCCAGTATCTTTCTGACAACAAGAGGGTCAATGTAGGGTACGGTGTACAATACGAACAAATAAAAAACATTTTTAGCCTGAAATTGTTAGGAAAAAAAGAACACTGGTTCTTATAGCCTATAAATAAAGTGTACCGTATTAAAATCTCATTGTGTGACCTTAGCATTCCAGTTGATGACAAGGATCCAGCTTATAGGCTTATCGTTGTGATTGTGTTAGCCTACTTGTGTTGTGTTTGTATTTTCAAATATTATAAATTTCCTTATAATACATTATTATGCATGACATAAAATACAATACTAAACCTTTCATACATTTGTGTACTTTGTAAATTACATGTGTATTGCTATTCAATGTTGGCGAATTGCAGTAAATGAATATCAATAAATGTGAATATTATCATTATAAACAATAGCCATATACATGCTACAGTATATTATAAACTAGACGGATATGATGCCGGCATTCTAAATAAATTTAATAATCATAAATGTTGATTAGCTGGTATCGCAATTATTGTTTCCTAAAAACAAACACTAGAACTATTTTTATTTGTCTTGTTAATTAACTAAATACCACAGGCCTAATAAACAACAGAAATAATAATAGGTCAAACGCGAAAAATGGTGGTCTTTCTTTGAAAATTAACTTTTACAATTTTGCATGATTTCTTACAAAAAAAAAACCACAAAAAAACAAGAAAACAGTTCATGCATTAACAAGATGGCTGATTTCCAAGATAGAATTGCTTGATAATCGTCATATAGAGCTGACCTATAAACCAAGGGACCTGTTTACCAGATCATCTGTCATCAAAACAATCCACTTCTCTATGTGCATCAGCAGAAAATTACTCAATTGTTTTGCATTAAATCCCGTGATAAGTAAAGCCTATATGTTGTTTCTTTAATTGACTATATTATTTAAATTAAAAAATACATTGTGTTTTTTTTTTCACAAAACAGTCGTGTCTGATTTTGGTGCGTCACCATTGTTCGTGTACAGATCTTTGCCTTTAAGTTCTCTTTGGCCGAAGTTCAAGGTAGTACAATCCTGCCCACTGATTAAATTTGGCTATAAGCCTATTTTTGATTCTCGTCTGCTGGTCAATGGATTTTTGATAACAAATTGATACAATTTTAACTTACCTATTGCCAGATAAATTTGCATTACTTCCAGAAAGATGAATGCAATTAGTTTACATTTGTAAACTACATCTTATAAAAACATGCATAATTTGCTATTCAGCGTATTCTGAGTTGCTTTACCTTATGTTTTAATCAATAGTTTTTTTTTGCCACATCTACTGTTACACAGGATGGAAGTTCCATTATTTGACGTAGATAGTAGGCCTAACGTCAATTTTGTATATGTTTCATACATGCCTTGATATTTGAAGGCTTCAGTACCATTTTGAGCTCCATCTTAATACTTATTAAAATAAAGCCAACGTACATTATACTTCAGTATGAGCTGATTCGAACGTTATATTTATCAAGCAATTTATTTAGTAGGCCCAATTGATCACCCAGCTTTTTAACACCAGGCCGGCACCCTAGGCCGTTTGGAACCTGGTCCTATAATGGTATAGTTTACCTCATAGCGTTCGTCTCAAGCCATGTATAATGAATGATGAAGGATTAATTTTTTGGCATATTTTGAACAATATTGCGGTTATAAAACGATAAAATACAGTCGACTAGGTTACAACGTGTTCAAAATAAGTTTCTTAGATTATATTCTCGCAAATTTGGTTTTGTTAGTAAAGATTTTTTAACTCCTTCAGCTGACCGCCGTAAACTTTTTGATTTAATTTTCCTTTTTAAATGTATGAATGCTATCTACGATGGAAATTTTGCCGTTAATTTTTCTCTTTCTGTACCACAATATCAATTCTGTAATTCTGTACCACAATAATAATCCTGTTCTTTTTTCAATACCTGGGGGGAGAGTCAACGTTACTAATCATGGGTTTATTAATCGTCTGCCTAAGTTATACAATTCTTTATGTAAAACTGATTTTTCTATTGACATTTTCTGTGATTCTCTTATGTGTTTTTGTCAAAAAGTTTAGGCCAATATTAGTAATATTTAGTTATTCTTACTTATCGTAACTGTATATTCACCTATTTATATTTAGATTTTATTATTCAATCCTGTAAAGGGTGAATTTGGTGAAATAAAATAAAAATAAAAAAGTAAAGTTTAAAAAAATATAGGTGGTTATCGTTGTTTTCCAAATCTTTAGAATGTACAGCATCCTTTTATTATAGAAAACATGATGATTTATAAAGGTTTATACAAATATAATACCTTTATATCATCTATATTGTAACCATTCCACATTTCATCATCGCTGACGATTGCACCAGTTCGAAGATTACTAACTCTGTTGCCATCTCGCATAAAATCAGTGACCGCTTTTATGTACACAACCCCCTTTCCACAGTTGCGTTTTGAGCATTTTCTTGGTTTTATCTCCACAGCACATTCAGAAATTGCAATATCCGGGTGTAAGTTATGTTCTGAAATACAAGTAAAAATCCTGAAGTTGACTGAGTCACTGGACATTGATATAAACATTAATTACGATAGAATGACACTAGGTATACAGCTTAGTGAAATGTTTGTCTTTCCAATCCCAATGTGCTTGGTTCAAATCATGCAAAAGGGAAGGGGATTTCATTTTAAAAAATATGGAAGCCCTAGTATTTTTGTTTAAAAACACTTCAATATTTGAAGCCTTGTCATTAATCTATTTATTTAGCGTTATACTTCTTCTATTTGTGGTGACATTTTCTTTTTTATTAAGCCAATAAAGGTATGTTTGAAACATACAAATTTTCACTAGTTTCTATCAGATTCGTTGATAATTTTCAGGTGAATGAACAAAATAATTAACTGTACTGAAAATTGCTATGTTTCAAATATAGGTTTATTGGATAAAAAATAAAATTTGAGACATCTAAATAGGCCTATTCGACATATATAGACCTAATATTTTTAATTCAATGTTTTTCTAATAACTTGCCCTTAATTCAGCTGTCTTGCTGCAGGCTAGTAAAAACGATAATAATATAAATTTCGGTACACTATATGCTAGAATTTGGTTCTGAAACGAGCATGTGATCGGTAGGATTACCCCCCACAAATATACATTTCAGGGAAGTAAATCACTGACGGGGATCGCCGACGAATACTACATTTATTAAGTTACTCTCCAGTGGTACTCCAAGGAAATGTCAAGCCCTAAAGTGTATTGCTTGAAGGCCTTAAATAGTTTAGAATATATAGAGTCTTGGCTTACCGTCTTTATCAAGTGTTAGTGGTATTGTGATACTACATTTTCCTTCGGTATCTCCACATACAACAGGTACAGTAGTTTCAAATATAACTTTATGACTCTCTCCATTTTCTACCAACGCCAGATGGTCTGAAGAAATCTACAATATGCAAAACTAACAGTTATATTTGATATCCATTGTTACTCTAGCAATGGCTAAAGTGTGCCAAATCCATGGATGCTTGAGAACGAAAAAAAAGTGTAGCTGAAATAATTATGTGTTTTATTTCAGTCTATTTCTATTCATCTACTTATTTAAAATATATAAAATTGTCAATTGAGAACTGAAACCGTTGCAATTACAAATTGTACACTAAGACAAAAATAAGCAATTACATTTGTAAAAAAAACAATTAATTCAAAAATATTACGTGTTCAATAAAGTCTACGATGTCAAAAGCCTTTTGTAAACCATAAAAGTACTAATAAATCCTCAGTAATTGCAGAGACAGCTGATCGAGGTAAATGTACTTGTTTACCCTTCGCATTCTAATTTAGAAAGCACCCTGTGCCAGACTTATGATAAAACCAGTGATAATTGAGTGCCTTACGTCATATTATAGTCGAGAAGATGACTTCATATACTAAATTCATGGTATCGTGAACTCTGAAAACATTAGGTATTATGAGACAAATATCTGTGACTCGTCCTTACACCTAGGCATTGGAATAAATAATGATGTTGTGTTTCTCCCTTGCGGTTGGTTAGGTTAAAGGGTGTCAATACCTTTTAATTTATTTATGTTTTTATAATTTAATTATCATAATCCTCGCAAAACAAAAGAAAATGCACACTTTGCCACTTATATGAGGGAACAAAGGGATACAAATATAAAATAAGAAATAAATGCAGCATAACAAAAAAATAAAATAAACCTAACACTAAGAAGATTGTTTACCTTGATTTCCGCCTTAAATACTTCGCTGTCGATAGCTGGACTTTTCATTTCCCTTGTATTGTTGAAAAATGTTGATACCTTGCATAGAATCTATCAAATAAACGACAAAGCGTAGATTACATGATCAAAATAAATATTTTCATAAATCAATGAAGAATGCTGTATACTTATATCAAGTCTAATTATAAGAAGTGAAGAAATGCTATTTTATGTATTGCTTTCTATTTCATTAAACATAGTAAATTATACAAAACACGGAAACATTGAAGCGACAAAACAAAAATAATACAACAATACACTGAGGATTGATAAAAGTGTTGAAAACTATAAATGTGGCTCTCCAAACTGATTATAACCTAGGTAAATCTGCACAAATAAACCCTATAAAAAATTAACAAAATTTGTTTGTTTGTTGCCAATAATATACAAAGTAAATGAAAAATTTGAAACAAGCATGCAATTAAAATTTAACAAAAATAAATCATGGGTTAAAAAAAAAAACGAAGAAAATGAACTCCCTCAACTAATCAAAATCATATCCCTAAAAAACCAGCAGAATTATACACAAACGAGGAAAAATATTAAGGAGTTTAAAAGGGAAATAATAATAAAAATATGTTTCTGTTTTAGGTCGTAATGTTTTTCTAACACTCGAACGTTCAGTGCAAAAGAGGTCTGCTTTTATCTGATGTACGTTTCTAACCTAGGCCTGTATTTGCAATGTTCTTACAACTATTAAATCTGGACAAAACAGGAAATCAACTAAGGACTTTCTTGTAGTATTATTCGGCCATTCTTATCATGCATGACAACTGTCTCTATTTCTGCATTTTACTTTCGGCACCTTAGGATGATTTGCAATGACAAATCATAACGTGTACAACGTAACATTACAGGCATATACTAATGTTAAATGTTTGACGATTTTAGCTGAAAATGTCACCTTTACATATTGAAATGTTTCACATTGTTTTTATCATTACAACCAAGTGATGTACGTCACTCAGAAACGTGCTTTCTGTTGTTTTATTAGGTAATCACATGTGGTGTAACAACTCAATATTTTTTAGAGAAGGTGACAATGTTGAACTTTGATTGGACATGTGTGTAAGTTATAGGTCAACAAAGAGCGAAAGTGTCAACATAATGTGACCAAGGACAAAACATAATTTAAATCAGTACACGTAATGTTCTTTAAAATTTGGGTCTATAAAAATGCATGTTAATTCATTAACTATATATAAATATAGCTTAGAAACATTGTTTATTTGCGCCATATAAATCGACCTATTATTATATATACAATGTTGTATTTTGGAATAAAAAAAGCTAATAATAATGTAATAATACAGGTAATAATAACAATGATAATAATAGTCGATTTGATGGGGATGACGACGATGCTAATTATAATGATAATTCCATTGTGATGATGATGATGTATATGCTGTTTATGATGATGATGCACTGCTTCCTGCACTTCTATTTGAATAGCGAATTACATACTTTGGGTGCTGCCGCAGAGCATGATCCCTGTCTGAACGTTGTATTTTTTAGGAGGTGTTGAGATGTCGTTCACAAAGTTATTTTGCTTTATATGCCTATGGCGATATCAGATCAGAGAAGACAACAGATAATGTATTAAGAACCTTGGAAATTTGTAGTGCAATTCAGTTACTTTGCCTAGGAAATGGGGTGATACAAGAATGTGTTCGTTTTGCTTTGTGTACCGATTTTCATTGTACGACGTGATGAGCAATAATAGTAATTAAGTAAAATAATAATAATAATAATAATAATAATAATAATAATAATAATAATTCAATTTAAGTAATATTTATTTCACTTTAGTCATAAAATATATTGTACAGTACGTGATGATAATTCGTAATAATAAAGAGAATTTCAGTACAAGGAAATAATCAATTCGTGAAAAAGAAACTCTGCGAATAAGCAAGCTTTTAGTTGCAGAGCCCTATATAAAATAACAACAACTTAGTAGAAAATGACATTTAACATTTAAAGAACTACTGTAAGTTATTTTTCACCAATATGATTAGGCATCAATTATGATTAGAGTTAATGTATTATTTATTTAAGTGGTTGATAAAAGATTATTACAAAATATACAGTTGTTTATATTACATCGAACCATCTGATCTCTAATTTAATTTATATTTAAAGGAACAAATATTTTTACAATTTTTCAACTCATCCGATAATTGGACCCGATAATAATAATAATAATAATAATAATAATAATAATAATAATAATAATAATAATAATAATAATAATAATAATAATAATAATAATAATGATGATGATGATGATGATGACGATGATGATGATGGTGATGATGATGACGATGATGATGAAAACGGTGATGGGGTAGTGGTAGTGGGGATGATGACATTAATAATAATAATAATAATAATAATACAATTTATGTAGGAGCTTGTACTATAGTTTTAGGAATTAAAATCCGATGTTCCGGGTAGGCCGAATATCTATAAAATTTTTCCCTATTCATCAAATCGAACAGCATACCTACCTGGAAATAAGTTATTACACGAACATATTTCCAAGGAGGGTACATAGCTTGCATCAGTTTCAAGAAAGCATATCTGGTCTACCGGTAAAGTTTGTATTTATTTATATTTAATTATATTCCAAATCACCGTCAACAGCGGAAACCCAGTCTTACAACAATGATGTGATCTCTTTTGAAATGGGTTACTAAAAACGGAATGACATTATCGTTAAAGAGTCCTTCACCATCTAAAAAAGGGTATAGTAACATATTCTTGTATTTTTGTTAATAATCAATTCGAATTTCTTTATGAATGGAAGCAACACCCAAATTTGATAATACACAATATAACTTACTTCGTCACCCATTCGTATGTGCGTCTTCAGTGGTAGGAATGCAATTGGCTCGTTCGTCTCTGTAGCAAATATTTCTGTGAGGTTTTCATTTACTGTCTGTAAATCACAAAAAAAAAACAATTAGGAAAACAAATTAATTGAATCAAAATATACACTGTTCTTTATATTACGAATTAACAAAACTATACAGTTGCTATTAACATAAAATTATGTATTAATGAAAGTATTATAATATATTAGCTAAAACACAGATTCTGTTATAAGATTCATTTAAGTAAAAATTCAGTTAATAAAGAATATATTAAACAGATAACTATCGAAGTAGCTATAGCAAAATGTGCTAATTACATCACATAGAATACGGTATGCATGCAGATATATTTGACTGATTGAAAGACAAGTACAAATGAACTGTAAGTCAAAGGGTAAACGTAATTTACAGACAGTCTTTATGACTGCATTGCAGACTAAAATGTAAACAGGAGTTAGAATGTAAAGAAGGGCTAAAGCACTTACTTTATACCACGTGACTTGATAAACAACATTGTTGGGTTGTTCTGTAAATGATATCTCATAAACACTACTCAAGTAAGCGCCATCTTCTCTTATCGCAATAGATAATTTCGGTCCCCTAGCAAGTGTCGGATACTTTTCTTTAAAAAAAAAAAAAGATAATGTTGCAATACAGTGAATTATTTATTTGTTAATCAATTTTAGTGTATGATGAGTATGAGATTAGTGGTCTCATACCTATCCTATAAACTGTCCCGACCCATCACAAACACATACACAAGCATATACTGTATAGGCCTATATTATGAGTTTCTTGGAGGGCCATCAACATTATCATCATTATCATAATGAAATGAAAAATAGAAATGTTTAATTCAACTAAAATACTGTAGGCCTATTCTATGATAATCACAAACACGATTATCAAAATTGTCCAAAAATATTTTATGATTGTTCTAGTGATTATTACATTGTATTTATGCAACCTGTTATGTGCGTTCCCGCTGTTTGCTGAAATGAAATAAAAATTGTAAAAAAAAAAAAAAAATAAAGATTGAGAGGTCCTTTTTCCATTTCCTCGTAGTGTATAGCCGAATTATTTTGTTTGCCTAAGATCATATACAAAATCTAAATGCGATATAAATAATGTTTATGAATCAGTATTATTACAGGCCTACATTTATCTACATTCTGCTTCGAAAAGGGGTTTTCATAAACACATTACCTTTCTAGCTAGGCCCACTTAAACTTTTATATATATAGGCCTAATATTATTATTATATATTATATATGTACAGTGTATATATATATAATATATATATATATATATAAATTTTATATATAAGAAAAATATTACTTGAGAAGAGATGAACTCTAAAACGTCTTGAGGTAATGCTTAATATATAACGTGTATGTGTGTATGGTGTATGTGTGTATGTGTGTGTGTGTGTGTATGCATGTATGTATGTATATATTATATATAATATATGTATGTATGTATGTATATATTATATATATACATGTATGTATGTATATATTATATATAATATATTAAAATATTATACATTATAATTCTATTATATAAAATGTATATAAATTATATATATGTGCATATATTAAAACATGCCTTTAATTGAAACACTTCCTTATGTTTTTTTTATATTTACAGACACTTATACATTCGGATGCAAAGTATTTCAAAGAAAATGCACGTTGTGTATTTTGGGAAGAGAATAAAAGGTAGAGTTTATACAAAAGTTAAAAAGTATTTGGTGGTGGTACACAACTTAGCATCGTAAATAATATGATCAAATAACTTTTTTTACCACCGTTATTTATAGTCCATTCGTATAATTATGTACATTCGAGTTTTGTTTCGGAATGTTCATGTGGAATCTGATATGTTACAGGGTTTGGTCAACCACCGGCTGTAAACGAGTAGGAAGTAGTGGCAACCATGTTAAATGTGAATGTGAACACACAACAACATTTGGTATATTTACCCCGGTTGATAAACCCGAACAGGTTTGTTTAAAATAAATATTATCAGATTCCGTCTGTATAGACCTATTATTTGAATAATATTTAATACTTTTGACAAATCTGGCATTCTTATCAATGTTTAAATAAATAACTATGATTATGGTTATAGTTAAGTCTGTACAGGTATAAATATCACGTAAGACAATGTACACACTTCATGCAGGAATATAGAAAAATAAAGAAAATTGGTTTTATTTAGATATTTATTTTCACCAGACTTTTTCAAGAGGGGAAAACCTTGAATTTTGAAGAATTTAAAGTAATTAAAAGACACCTCAGAAGTCGGGAAAACTCATTTCCCGCCTTCTAAGAATCACAATTTTCCCGAGGGGAGAACCCCCGGACCCCCCTTTCTTTTTGGGATTTTTGGATTCATGGAAAAAATCATATGCAACTACTCATTTTTTTTTATGTATATATACATACATAAGACTTATCTACTGTCTGTCTCTTATACACATCTAGATGTGTATAAGAGACAGTATATATATATATAACTCTGCAACATATTTAAGTGTCTTACCTCTACAGGGCGCGAATCCGTCAGTAGAGTACTCCGATGGTTTGCAACGAACTTTCATTTCTATGTCAATTAAATAAATGATGTAATTAAGTGTCAAACTAATGTAATGATTTGAAATGGAACATTTTACTTTACTTGTTGATTAATTAATTAACTAATTCATTGATTGATTTATTGATTGACCGATCGATTAAGTAATTAATTGGAACTACTTGTTAATTAATTTATTGACTAATTGATTGATCGATTGATTGGACCATTCAAACACAAGTACAGTAATGCTACTTTAGTCATTACAGTAACAATGAAACATTAATGTGCAACTTGTTTTGCTACCTGGTATGTATTCCTGTCATTCATAATTATTTTCATTTGCAATATGATCAATGAATCTATTAAATACACTATTCTCCTCTCACCCACATCGCCATTGGCTTTAAAACAATTTCCCACAGTTTTAGAGAACCATTTTTGACAGTCTATTTACGTTAGAATTAATTACCTTGGACACAGTATGCTAACATACACGACGGGGTTGGACTTAAAAAGTATACAAAAAAGTCTCCACAATTTCTGACAATGACGGGTAACCTGAATCCACAACAGTGTTGACGTTCAAGTTTTGGATGATAATTTCGAGGTTTTAAAGTTGCACAAGATTCGAACGTCCTATTTTCTCCCGGTAACGGTAAACTTTGGCCCATCGTATCCAGCCATATTGGCCCTGAAGTACCACAATAATTAACCTACAAAGATTAAATATTAGATTAAGTTTAGATGTTAAAACAAAGCAATATTACCAGTTAAAGAATATATTAATGGTATGGAATTCTCAATGTAGATAGAGTGTAGATACAAATGATTTGAGAAATGTTAATATACATACTGCATGGGCTTGGAATGTTGGACAGGAGTCCAAAATTTACGTGATACTGAAACACTGACTGCAACAATGCGCATGGAAGTGGCGTATCTAAGCATGCACCCACACCTTGAAAGCCAGCACCCGTCCAGTCGTCCCCAACAGGAATTTGTGAAGCCAAAAAATGTATGTGCAAGTAATTAAAAATCATCTCATATCACCTTTTTCGTCAGATAGTGCCTCCTCACGTAATCATCGAGTGCTCCTACTTCACCTTTGCTCTCACATTTTATAAAATAGGTCTAGATACGCCAATGGGCGCGTGGAAACAGTTGTATATAGATAATATATTTTCAAAAATTATAGTAACATAATTTGTAAGGTTTCATTTTCACTACTATAATTAGGCTGGATACTTTTGTTATTAAATTTTAATTGGAAAAGCCTATAGGGCGTGGCGCCACAATTCACTAGTTGTCGCGACCAAACATAAAAAGAGGTGTCACCATGAGCAATTAGATGTGAGTGTGTCAGAATCCTAAGAGTAGAATAGACACTTACATTAACACATTCCGTTGGCATCTCGGCGAATTTTCCATACATCATAAACACATACCATCCCCTTTCTAAAGCATTGTCGCATCTACCTCCAACACCTTCGTCGCGTCCCAAACCATAGTTTTTGCTCCGATACGGATCATCGATGATCCGGTGGCCCCCACTGGAGCACTCGTCTGTGGGTAAAAGAAAGGCAAAGCTATAGAGGTAGTTACAACGAATGGAATAACATCACCTTTAGGATACATAAATTTCTAAATATTTAGGGAAATTCTTTTTATATCTTCATTATGATATAATAGATGCCATTTTATTTAAGCACTAGGGCTATAAATCTGACCACCTGTAACTTACACCAGAAATCTCGCAAAATGCATTCGAA